AACGGTACCTAAACGAGCCCCCTGGGGGTCCGGAGGGGCTCGAAAGGGGCACGAAAGGGGACCGTTTCTGACCCCCATTTATGACCCCCCCATTAAGCCACGCCCAACCCCCCCCGGAGCTCTCGCCAGGAGCTTCCAGAGCTCGTCGCCAGGCCTTCCAGCGCCCTTCGCGCGCCCCGCTGCCCAGCCCTGGGACCCCACGGGGCGAGAAGCGGGTCCTCCTGGGAGAAGGCCCCGGCTCTCGGCATCGCTCGGGCGTGTGCAGTCTTCTTGCGGCGAGGACCAATCGAGGGGGCACCCTGGATGATTTGGCGACGTAAGCCACGCACGACACCGAGCAAACACACGCACAGGGAGTGGACGTCCGAGCGGTGGCCCGGGCTCGGGGGGCAGGCGCGGAGAGCCCGGGGGGGGGGGGGGCTCTCGAGCTCCAGGCGCGCTGTCGGCGTGTCGCTCCGGGCAGGCTCGTCGGGCTTCGGATTGCAAAAAAACCAGGATTGCAAAAAAAACGAAGGATTGCAACAAAAAGGATTGCAAAAAAAAACCTTCGTCAGGATTGCAAAAAAAAGATTGCAAAAAAAGGATTGCGAAAGGGTTTTTTTGCAATACTTCGTTCAGGGTTTTTTTTTTTTGCAATCCTTCGGGTTGTTTTGCAATCCTATGTTTTTTTGCAATCCTTCGCCCCAGCAGCCGGGAAGGCGAAGGCCCACCCCCCACCCCCAGTTCAGTAGCGACAACAGGACGCACACGTGCATGAATCCACGCTGCTTCCGAGAGTACGCATTGCGCAAATGTTCGCATAACGCGGCCGGTTTCGCGGATCGAGGGGCCGTGTTCATGTACATAGCTGGGCGCGTACGTCCTGTGTGGGCTCCCTAATTACCAGTGCCGCCCCCATCCCCGATCCGCACGAGCGGAATGGGTACGGAAAGAAGGGGTACACTGCCCAACAGCAGTTCTGGTTCATTTTGAACAGGACTCGCTGTCCGCGCCGCCGCGGCCTGTGTCCGTTTGAGACAGAATGCCGCCGGCCCAACAGCGGCCGCTGTTGGTTTGGAACGACATGTGCTATTGGGCATTGTACCAATTTTTGTTCGTACCCATGTCGGACGTCCATACCCGAGGCCCCGCGACACAGGGGGTCGGGGCTGGGGGTTGGGGGGTGGTTCTTCGGCTTGGCATCGCTTGGACGCGTTCGGCGAGGACCATCGAGGAGCACCCTTGATCATCTGGCGAAAGAACCACGCACGAAACCGAAAACACACACAGGGAATGGACGTCCGAGCAATGGCCAGTCGGGGCCCAGGGATTAAAAAAAAACGCCCCCACCCCCAGTCCCGCCTCCCCCTCCTCCTCCTCCTCCTCCTCCTCCTCCTCCTCCTCCCCCTCCTCCTCCTCCTCCTCCTGCGTTCACTCCTCCTCCTCCCTGCGGGGTCTCGGGGATGGGGTCGGGACTGGGGGTGGGGGTGGGCGTTCGCCTTCCGACCCAGGGCCATCGCAGATCGATCCGGTTGAAACTCAGGAGGGAAAAAATAACACAGGCACAATGAATCGTCGACTCCCCAGAAAGTATGGGAAACTATGGGAAGTGGGGGGGGGAGACAAAGACCCAGAAAATACAGAAACATATCTGCATATTTTTAGTTGTGTGTATTTAAATGTGTGTGTGTGTGTGTGTGTCTCAGGGCCCCTTCAAAAACATGATGCAGGAAGATGGGGTCTAAGTCTCTGGTCGAAGGATCACGACTTGCGTAGCCACCAATGTTGTAGGTCCATGCGGATGTCTTGGATCTGCGCTGGACCCCCCCAGCGGCGTCTCATGCAGGCGGATCTTTCGCAATGTGTGGTCGATTGCCATCTGTCCATGGCTGAACACAATAGCCTTGCGATGCACACACGCACTCTCGTGACTCAAATCGGAAACGGGAGGGACCACGAAGAGTGTGAGATGTGTGTGTGTGTGCCGGCTCGGGGCGTGGCGACGCCGTGCGAACGCAGCCATTGGAGAGTTCGGTGGAGCATCCTGCACGGCCACGAAACGAGTGAGAGAGGTGCCGACAGAGGGCGAGGCACCGTGCGAACGCAGCAGCTGGGGCTCTCGGTGGTGCTCCCCTCGGGGCCACGGAGCGGGCGAGAGGTGCGCCGGCATGGGGCGGAGCACCTGGCCACCCTGGGCTTTGGGTGAAGCACCCTGTGGGGCTACGAAGCGTGAAGGTTGTGCCGAACCGGGGCGGAGCACCAATGAACCCTCAACGGCACCGTAACGGGTACGGTAGGTTTGCGTCGTGTCGACCAGCGGCGACCCCAGCGCGGGCGTTCAAGGTTGAACGCCGCCGGCGACCCAGAATCGATCGATGTTGAACGATCGGACGTTGCGGCAGCGGCCGATCGTTCAAGAATGAACGATCCCTGCGGTGTCAAAAACCAACGCTGGGGTCGGCACGACACGAACCTGCCGTACTTACTAACGGGTACTTTGAATGTTTGCCGAAAGTTGCCCTTTTTAGGGCCTTGTTCTTGCATTGCAGCTTTGCCTACATCGGGAAGGGTTGGGTTCGCTGGGTCACTGGCCAAAGTACCCGTTAGTGGAGTCCCCGTTTGAGGGGCGCTGAAACCCTGCCACTGGAGCTTTCGGTGGAGCTTCCAAGGGGTCGACGAACATTTAGGCCTCCTACTATGGGGCCCGAGTGGACGGGGTCGGATCGCGCCGCATCGCCGGTGCATCGCCGATGCGGCTCGATGCGGAGCCCGGTGCTCTTGACGCGGGCGTCGCGCCGATGTATTGCCGACGTCACCGCTGCATCGAAGGGGCATCCCCGAGGCATCGGCGACGCGGCGCGACCCTCCGACCCCAGTACATCGACCCCGATCTAGGAGGCCTCTAGAATCATGGGCTGGTTTCCCACCACCACCACCAGAAGTTGGAGGGGGGAAGAGGGTGTAGGATGAGGAGAAGGAGGAAGAACAGGAGGAGGAGGAGGAGGAGGAGGAGGAGGAGGAGGAGGAGGGGGAGAAGGAGGAGGAGGACCCCCTCCCCCTCTTATTTCTGGAAGCAGCGGTGGAAAACAAGCCCACCATCGAAGAATGAGAGGGGTCTGCCAACAGAGGGCCCGCGGCGGGGGGGCGCAGGCCACGGCCCCGCGCCGCCGGCGCGTGCCGCTCGTCCCCTCCGCCCCGTGCATCCCTCCCTCCCTCCGTTTTTGCACAAAGGCTGCCACGAGGGCGCGAATTGATTCGCGATTTCTCCTCCTCCTCCTCCTCCTCCTCCTTCTCCTCCTCCTCCTCCTTCCGAGAGCGCGAATTGATTCGCGATTCCTTCTCCTCCTCCTCCTCCTCCTTCTCCTCCTTCTCTTTTCCTCTGAGGGGGTGGCGCGAGAGCGCGAAGTTGTTCGCGAATCGCGAACTTAGCTGTGATTGCTGACGTCTTCGCGGCGTGAGCAATCATGACAGGAGTCGTTCTTCCCAGCCGTCCTGTGTTGTTGGGTCCTCCTTTTGAAGAGACGGTCTCCGCATCCCTCCTCTCCTCTCCTCTCCTCCCCCTCCTCCCTCCTCCCCCTCCCCCTCCTTCTTTCTCCTTGCGTTTCACCCACGCAGTACAGCGTCTCGTGGCCCCATAGGGAGCTCCACCTAAGGCCCCAGAGGGGGTGGCCACATGCGTCCGCCACACCCAGAGCAGCGCTTCGTGGCCCCATCGGGAGCTTCACCTAAGGGCCCAGTGGGGTCGGCCACATGCGTCCGCCACACCCAGTACAGCGTTTCGTGGCCCTGTAAGGAGCTCCACCTAAGGCCCCAGTGGGGGTGGCCATATGCGTCCGCCACACCCAGTACAGCGTTTCGTGGCCCCATACGTCGCTCCACCTAAGGCCCCAGTGGGGGTGGCCACATGCGTCCGCCACACCCAGTACAGCGCTTCGTGGCCCCATAGGTCGCTCCACCTAAGGCCCCAGTGGGGGTGGCCACATGCGCCCGCCACACCCAGTGCAGCGCTTCGTGGCCCCATAGGTCGCTCCACGCAAGGCTCCAGTGGGGGTGGCCACATGCGCCCGCCACACCCAGTGCAGCGTTTCGTGGCCCCATAAGGGGGCTCCACCTCAGGCCCCAGTGGGGGTGACCACATACGCCCGCCACACCCAGTGCAGCGTTTCGTGGCCCCATAGGGGGCACCACCCAAGGCCCCAGTGGAGGTGGCCACATTTGCCCGCCACACCCAGTACAGCGCTTCGTGGCCCCATAGGGAGCTCCACGCAAAGCTCCTGTTGGGGGTGGCCACATGCGGCCGCCACACCGAGTACAGCGTTACCTGGCCCCATAGGGAACTCCATCTGCGGCCCCAGTGGGGGTGGCCACATGCGTCCGCCACATCCAGTACAGCGTGTCGTGGCCCCATACGGAGCTCCACTTGCGGCCCCAGTGGGGGTGGCCACATGCGTCCGCCACACCCAGTACAGCGTGTCGTGACCCATAGGGAGCCTCACCGAAGGCCCCAGTGGCACCGGCCGCATGCGTCTCCCCCACCCATGACGGCACGTCCCTCCTGCGTTCCGTGGCCCTATAGGGAGCTCCACCGAAAGCGGCGCCCACAACGCGTCATTCACAACTGCATATGGTTGGGTTTTTCGCCTGGATAATTTTCGATTACGTGTGGGCTCTTACGTGGCTCTGGGGCCGTCAATTACCGACTCTGAATAGAAATACGGTCCGTCGGAAGAGGTGCAGCATTTCTGGGGAGCCGCGTCTTGAAAATTCACGGCATCGGATGTCTTGGTTTCTCTTCCAATTCTTTCCGCATGTGTTTTGCCGCTTTGGTTGGAGGAAGTTTGCGTTGCCTCGCGGCCCACTCCTGCCCCTTTTTGCGCCGGTCAAGTGCAGCTACCATGGCGAAGGACGGTGTTTCCATGCAGGCTTTCATGCTCGACTTCGTGCTCGGCGGCTTCTCGGGGGCGGTGGCGAAGACGATCACGGCACCGATCGAGCGCATCAAGCTGGTGGTGCAGACGCAGGACGCGAACCCGAAGATCCGGAGCGGCGAGGTGCCGCGCTACAAGGGCATCGTCGACTGCGGCCAGCGCATTATCAAGGAGCAGGGCTTCAGGCGTTTCTGGGACGGAAACTTCACGAATTGCATCCGCTATTTCCCGACGCAGGCTTTCAACCTGGCATTCAAGGACACGTTCAAGAGGATGTTCCCGAAGTACAACCCCAAGACTGAGTTCCCGATGTTCTTCGCAGCGAACCTGGTTTCGGGGGGAATGGCCGCGGCGGGTAGCCTCACCATCGTCTACCCGCTGGACTACGCGCGGACCAGGCTGGCCTCCGACGTCGGCTCTGGCAAGAAGACCTTCTCGGGCCTCGGCGATTGCATCGTGAAGACGATGAAGGGGCCTGGCGGGTTCGGTGCGCTGTACACGGGCTTCGGCGTGTCCGTGGTGGGCATCGTGGGGTACCGTGGCCTGCAGCTGGGGACCTTCGACACCATCGTCGGCCTGAACCCCTACAAGAAGGACAGAGGAGGAGGAGGAGGAGGAGGAGGAGGAGGAGGAGGAGGAGGCGGAGGCGGAGGAGGAGGAGGAGGAGGAGGAGGAGGAGGACGAGGAGGCGGAGGAAGAGGTGCCGATGCCGCTTCCCTTACCTCGCCGCCACGACCGGATGCGCCCCGAGGTCCTGGGCGGAACGCACCACAGGAGAGACCCGTGGTGCGGCTCGGAGGTCTTGGATCGGCGCTGGGCCCCCCCCGGCGGCGCCACCTCTGGCGCGCTCCGTGCGCCAGGGAGGGGTGCCCAGCGCAGCTCCAAGAATTCCGCGCGGAAGTTCTATCAAGGGGGGTCCGAACCCCCAACAGTGGCACGTCGATGAGTGAATTGTCCGTTTTCGGTTCTCGAGAGGGCGCCGCGGCCGTTGCTTTCCAGGCTTGCGCCCGCCAGGTTTGGGCCTTAGGTCGTTTTCACTAAACGACGTTGTACCAAAGGGAGGTCTGTCCACCCCCGATTATCAGTTTATTCGTATGCAGTTGTTTTGTCTCGCTATGCACCGGAGAGGTCCATGCAGTGGCGGTGTCGGCCTCGGTTTGCCCCCCTCAGGACAAGGGCTTCATGGGCGCCCTGTCCACGTTCGTCGCGGCGCAGACCGCCATCACCATCGGCGCTGGCGCCACGTACCCCTTCGACACCGTCCGCCGTCGCCTTCAGATGCAGTCCGAGAAGCCTGTGGAAGAGCACCTCTATAAGGTCGAAAAATAATATAATGCATAAACATAAAATGTCGACGCTCCGCGCAGATTCCTCGGATCGGCTCTGGGCCCCCACTGGCGGCGCCTCATGCGCCGCCCATGGCTCGCTCCCGATCCCAGCACCGATCCAAGAAATCCGCGCGGACATCCAAAGTTCAAGCTCGCACAGTTTTTCTAATGTGTCCACAAGGGGACGATGGACTGCTTCAAGAAGATCGCGTCCGAGGAGGGCTTGGCCAAGGGCCTCTACAAGGGGTTCATAGCCAACGTCGTGCGCAGCGTCGGCGGCGCACTGGTGCTGGTGTTCTACGACCGCGCCAAGATGTACCTTGGTATCTGAGCTGCTCCCCGACAGCGTCGAGATCTGCCCAACAATTCAGTACATGTCGGGGTCGGGCGGCCAGGCTGAACTTTTTGATCTGGGGTTCGTGCAGATTGGGGGTGGGGCCAAGGTATCTTTTGGGAATGATCCCTGCTCGAGGCTCACATCTTCTTCTTCTTCTTCATCTTCTTCTTCTTCTTCTTCCAAGGGCCGTTCAGCGCGATTCTCTTCTAACCCGCCTTCTGGCCTCACCCCCCGTTTCACGACCCCCTGTCGATATCGGCTGCCAGGGCCTCGTATTGAAGGACAGCGCTTTGGGATCCACAATTTTGGGCGCGCGCTCCCAGTGGCACCCTGCCACGACGGTGCGTCCAGGGCGACGCACCCACACGTTGGCTGTTGGACTGGGGACTTGTTTTCCAGACTTGTGCGCCGTGGATTTCGCTGTTGGAGCCTCCTGCTTCAGTATGCTTGAGTCGATACCCATCCCCATCCCCATCCCGAGCCCCACAGTCCCACCGCCCCAGTCGGGGGCACGCCCCGCGAGATCCGCAGGGAACGGCCTCTGTCCCCATCTGGGGGGGGCAAGTCGGCCAGTTGGGCCCAGGCCACGCCAGTGGGGAGGGACTACGTGCGTGCGTGCGTGCGTGCGTGCGTGCGTGCGTGCGTGCGTGTCGGGCGTGCGTGCGTGCGTGCGTGCGTGTGAGCGTGAGTGCGTGCGTGCGTGCGTGCGTGCGTGCGTGCGTGCGTCGACTCGCCGAGGCTCATCCGTGCTGATCTCCGGACCCGGCTCGGAGGCACATCCGAGCTGTGGCACCCGTCTTGCTGCTGGGCGTTGGGGCGAGAGGGAGCGCAGCAGCCACAGCAACAGGAGTCCGGGGCGTCGGAGGCGTGGGCCCGTCCCGGCGCCCAAGGCGGAGGGGAGGAGGAGGGGCGAGCAGCAGGACGAGGATCAGGAAGGGAAAAAACACAGACACAATTAATCGTCGATTCCCAGAAAATATGGGGAAATATGGGAAGTGGGGGGAAGACAAAAACCCAGAAAATATGGGAAAGTATGGGGAATCTGTTTATTTGTGTGTATTTATTTGTGTGTCCTGGGGCCCCTTCAGAGGAGCTTGAGTACAGTGGGGGCGCGCATCAAGGAACCATATGCTTTTCGTCCGGGTATCCTGGGTTTCTTCGCTCCCCGCGCTGCGCGGCGACTTCCCGCAGCCGTTGAAGAAGCTGCTACGTTCAGGGTGCTCTTTCAGGGTTGCGTTTCTTGCGAAGGTTTCTTGCGGCCGCGCCCGCAATGTACGAGATCGACAACATAATCCACGCACCCCAGAATTCGAATCGACGAAACATACGTCGAATGCCCGCAGACCTACGAAGATTCGACGTATTTGTTTCGTGGATTCGGCGGGGAAGCAATTCTGGGGCAAATCCATGATGTAGTCGATGTCCGATTCGGAGCAGGACGAGGAAGACGAGGAGTCAGGAGCGAATTGTTTGACGCACACGTACAGCGCACATACATTCTTAAGAGCGCGCCTTGCGCGAGTTATTGTATCACGAGGCCGCTATCGCGGGTTGGGGGGCCGTGTTCAAGGACGTCGTTGGGCGCGTACGTCCTTTGCGGGCTCCCTACCGGAGGTCAAGGAGGAAATGGACAAGGGGAGTGGGCATGGAGTTGCCCGCTCTTTTCTTGTGCAGGCATTTCCTGGAAAGATGCTCGTGCGCGGATCCACACATGTTTAGCCACCCTCCCTCCGTCCTCGCGCTTCCTTGCCTCACGCCTCCCCCGCTTCCGTCCTCCCGCTTCTTTGTCCCGCGGTCACTATTCTTCCCCCCTCCCTCCGCTTCCGTCCTCCCTCCCCCTTCCCCCCTCTCAGCACCCCTCCCTCATCCATCTCCCCCGCCCTCCCGGCCCCCGAGCCCCAAGCACAAGCGGCGTGCGATTGGGCAGCCCCCCTTTTGGCTCCAGTCGCTCTTGTTTCCCCGCCCGGCATCTCATCGCGACGTGCTCGTGGCAACTTGGAAATCCTGCATCACTATCTGGTGTAGTTTCTGCTGCTTTCAATGGGTTGGCTGAGACCGATAGAAATTCACGCATGCTCTTCCTGAGCAGTAAGTTCGGGTCGGGCGAAAAGGGGGGTTTGGGAAAGGGGGGGTTACGAAATCTGCTGCATGCAGCTGGTTTCGGCCCCACCGAGGGGCCCATTCCTCGATACATAGCCGCCTCCGGCGCCGGGAGGCGCCGGGAAAATTAGCTACGTGAGCTGATTCTCAAACCCCCCCTTTGCTATCCCCCCCTTTCGCCCGACCCGATAAGTACCTTGTCGGTGCAGGCCAGGTGTGACTTGGTCTTCTACTTCCTCCGTGTCGCTTTCGTGCTGGCAGGGCGCAGGTTGGGCCTCTTATGCACCTCACTTGCATGGCTTTCCTGTGCATCGACTCTGTGGTCCGTCCAGGGCTGCAGAAGCAATGGGGGAGCCGGAGGCATTTCGGGCCGGGCGAAAGGGGGGGATTGGGAAAGGGGGGGTTACGAAATTTGCTGCATGCAGCTGGTTTCGGCCTCACCGAGGGGCCCATTCCTCGATACATGGGCGCCTCTGGCGCCCGGAGGCGCCAGGAAAATCAGCTACGTGAGCTGATTCTCAAACCCCCCCTTTGCTATCCCCCCCTTTCGCCCGACCCGATTGTCACGAGCGTCGTGGAGGACATCCGCCCCAGGGCGCAAAGTCGATAAGGGGTGCCGCAGTCTTGACCCACCCGCCTGCAATCTGGGCGTATTGCAGGCGTGTTTTGATGGAATGGTGGTTATTGGTTTGCATTGGGAGTTTGTGTCCCGTGAGGGGGTTCTGGCCATCTGTCGGTGACGGTTGCGCTTGCCTTCTGACGGGGGTGGGACCACGCTTTGGCCGCTGAGTGCGTGCGGGAGCGTCCCGTGGGGGAGTTCTGGCCGACTGTCTGTGACGGTTGCGCTTGCCTCCTGCACGCCCTCACCCCCGTTCGTTGCGGAAGCGTCCCGTGAGGGCGATTTTGGCCGATTGTCGGTGGCGGTCGTGTTTGCCTTCCGACGGGGGGCGGCCTCTGTTATGGCGACGGGGCTTCTGCATCTGGAGCTTTCACGTCTACTGGGGTGCAGCAGTATTGGGTTCATTGGCATGGCTGGTGGCAGCTGGTGGTTCAATGTACGTATTTTCCCGCCACAGGCGGGGACCGCGGCTGCCAGTCCAAGCTGGTAGAGGGCTGGAGGAGGCCCCCGCGAGTCCGATACACTGCTGTATTTTATTTGGGCATTTCGGCATCTCCGATTACAAGTACCCGGGTGTATTCTTTTGGACGGGGCCCGCTAGCCCCCGCCTCAGCCGCCGCGTGTTCGTCCGTCGGACGCGCGCGCCTCGCCTCGCACCCTCGTGCCCTCCTTCTGCTCCTCCTCCGCCTCCTCTTCTTCCTCCTGGTCGGAACCCGCGGTGGTCTCCTGAGCCTTTCGCGGCTTGCCCGCCCCCTTCGGCCGCACCTTACCTCACTACCTCCTCCTCCGCATCCGCTTCCTCTTCGTCTTGGCGGCGCTTCCAAGGGGGCACAAGCGGGCGATGCGGCCTCATCTGGGAAGGCACGGGGTCATCGGAAAGGAGTGTCGGATGCCTCAGGTGACGGTTTCTCAGATAGCGCGCGGGTTCCTAACGCCCTCTTGCCTTCTCAGAGAGACCCCCCCCGCCCCAGCCCCCTTCTTGCCCGCCACCGATCACCCTCGAGGGAACGCATACGCCTAGGGGAGGCGCTTCTGGGATGGCAACTTCACCAACTGCATCCGGTACTTCCCGACCCAGGCATTCAACCTGGCTTTCAAGGCCGCCTCCCGCCAGATCAGAGCAGATTTGACGGTCAGCAGCCTACTCCAACCACCTATCCAGCTACTTGCGGACGATGGCTACCGTTGGTGATGATGATGATGATGATGATGATGATGATGATGATGATGATGATGATGATGTTGATGTGATGATGGTGTTGCAGCTGTTGGTGACGTTGTTGTTGATGGTGACGATGGTTGTGCTTATGTTGATGATGCTGATGATGATGATGATGATGATGGTGATGGTGATGGTGATGACGATGCTGATGATGATGATGATGATGATGATGATGATGATGATGAGGATGAGGATGAGGATGAGGATGAGGATGATGATGATGATGATGATGATGATGATGATGATGATGATGATGATGATGATGATGGTGCTGATGGTGTTGATGATGGTGATGATGATGCTGATGATGAAACTCGTTGGGGCCGTCTTGGGGCTGTCTTGGCCTCGTTTGATGCAGTCTTGGGGGTCCCTTGGGTCCCTCTTGGGCCGTATTGGGGCCCTCTTACGCCGGCCTGCAGCTGTCTTGGGCCGTCTTGGGGCCCTCTTGGCCGCATGGTGGGTGTCTGGGGGCTGTCGTGGGGCCGCCTGTGCGTCGTCTTGGGCCGTCGAAGAGTAGTCTAAGGCCGTCCTGGGCCCCTCGGGAAGCCCTCTTGGGCCGGCCGTCTCGGGGCCGCCTGGGGTGCCTTTTGGGCCATCGTGGAGTCCTTTTGGGCCGTCTTGAGCTGATGGCAGCTCAGAGGGCCAGAAAACGAACATCACTCAACAACCAAAGGGGACTCAATGATGTTGGCTTCCCAGGGCCCTGCTGGAGGTCTCTTTGTTGCAATTTTGTGCTCTCTTGGAGGCATCTTGGGCCGTCTTGGATCAATATTCGGCCGCCTCTGCTGGTAGAGGGAGGGGCGGTTCCTTATTATATTCAAAAACAACCTCACCTGGCAGACCTTGGCATTCCTCCACGCCTCAACGTGCCAAGGGGCACGGTTGCGGATCTATTGGCTTCCACCCATCCCGCCACAGTGCTTGGGTTGTCGGTCAGAGCTCCCTTGGATGCATGCGAGGATCTATTGGGAGAACTCTCGGAAGTTTGATGGAGGCGGTTGGCGTCTCGGGGGCCTTTTGGAGATTGATTTGGGCCTCTTGGGGCTCTCTTGGGGGCACATCGGGTGCCTCGGGGGGGATCTTGGGGCCATCTTGGGGCGGAGGGCTCAAAGTGTCAGTTCTCGCTCCCCCTCCTGGGCCCCTCTTGGGGCTGTCTTGTGGATCTCTTGGGTCCTTTTGGGGGGCTCTTTGGCAGTGTGTGAGGATCTTTGGCGCCTCTGGGGCCGTCTTGGACGCTCTGAAGACCGAGCCCTGGCATCGCTCGGACGTGTGCATTGTTTCCCAGCGAGAACCATCGAGGACCATCCTGGAGCATCGAGCAAAAACAAACACGCACGAAACCTAAAGATGCACGGGAAGTGGACGTCCAAGCGATGCTTGGCGGCGGCAGCGCTAACCATACAAACCCACAGAAGTGTGACGACTTTGGCTTGTTGGGCCGCCCTCCAGAGCTTCAAGGCAGCCCAGGAAGCGCCCAGTGGGCTCCAGGACGGACCTCGGGGCCATCTTGGGCCATCCTTCGGCGGCGAGCGAGGGGGGGGGGAGTGAGAAGGAGCAGGCCTTCTCAGAAGGCGGCGGGACTTCTCAGAAGCCCTCGCGCCTTCTGAGAGGTTTTTTGTATCGTCGGGGAAGGCTTAGAACATTTCTCAGAAGGCTGGGGGACTTCCGAGCCTTTTGAGAAGACCCGCCCTTTCTCCTTTCCCCTCCTCGCTCGATTCCGAATGTTGGACTTGCATGCCCCGATCAGCGCGCTCTTGTCCTCTGGAAAACATACTCGGGCACGCCCAGGAGTGTCTGGAACTCCGGAAACGCCCAGGAGCTCCGGAAACGCCCGGGAGTGTCTGGAACTCCGAGTTGGGGACCCCTGAAAGAAGACTTACGCTACAGAATGCAGAGTTCGAATGGACCTGGGGACGGTTCACTCCGTGCCTCGAGGCACGGTGGCAGATCATGTGGGT